AATAATAATATGAACAAAATTAAGTAGAGGAAAAGCTTCAGATTTTATTTTATTTTTGTTAGAGGATGAATGCTTAGTGACAAGGCATAATGTTAAATGAATGTGTCTATTTTGTCTATTTATACTAGAGAAGCTCAGCTCTCAGTGGGCAATATACTAGTCTTCATGATAGAAAGCATTCTGTTTAATTGTAGTCTCTGTTTGTGCTTCTAGCATTATTGTACCGTAGTCTATAGAATTGGTTCTTGTTTTCTTTTTTACAGCAATAACTGTTGTGTTGACAGTTTTGGATATCTCTCATGTGAACAGCAGGAACAGGATCATGAGCAGTTTGAGATGGAACAACGAGACGAGGATCTTAATGACACTGACAATGAATTAGAGCATCTTGCGCAGCATGTGCGCCATGATCAGATTCATTTTGACATGTATGTGAGACATTGAATTTGTGCCAAAGTGTGATTTGACTATTAATGATATGTGCCTCTTCCTGAGCGACTGTCACATCAGTAAACAGAGCATGATAGCTTTCATTGTGCGAATTGCAAATACTTTTTTGGTGCTAGCAAAAAAGTTAAATGGAAAGCACTCATCATAGTATTATTAATTATATGGCACTATGCACCTTTAAGATACACTTCTCTTCATTATGTATACTATAATATTCATGAGATTTCCTGCAATACCAATCAGAAAGAAAATATCAACACTAATTTGTTTTTATCAGTTGAAAGATGTTGTTGAGCTTATGGGATTTTTATTTGGCTGTAGAAGTTGTCAATTATGCTGTTTCTAGTTTACTTCATCTTTTTCTTGGGCCTGCTGCATGTAGTAATCTTTCATTTCTCTGCATGACTGACTATCTGCACAAGTGTATACATTCAAATACCACATGAATCCAATTTATTTTGAATCTAATTTTTAACTCCACCCTTCCCCCTTTTTTTGCAACAGAGTTCAAAGCCTGAAATTCAAACGTGATGAGCAAAGTGACTTAAATGACATTCTCCTGCGCGTGTCAGCCTTCGGTCTTTTTGTCTATGCTGTATTCAGTGTCATCGCTGGCTCTCTCTTGGCAACTACTAAAGAGCCCAATATGTTGGTGACAGTGACTAGTGCACTCTCTGTTTTGCAGGTTCGTTTTCTGTACACTCTTGTGGAACAAATAATGCACTTTAATGTTACTCACCTATTTGTTTGTGTTTGTGCTAGGTGGTTTTGCAACTGTTGTTTATTGCGGATGTTTCTCGGCGCCGTGTGCATCTACCAGAGCACGATCGTAGCAAACCAGGAAGACAAATCGTCACATTCCTACTGATTTGCAATGTTGCCATGTGGGTAATGTACACCTTTGAAATGCTGAAAGTTGCCGCCAACCCAGTCCAGGTAAGGCCTATTTCTTTGTGTTGTTTTTTTTTATTCCCTCTCAATCACATCTTTGTTGTCTAATCTCTATATTTGTATTTCCTTCCCCCTCATTTTAGCTTGACTTCTATGGTTTCTTTACTTGGGCTTTAGTGAAACGTATCACTCTCCCACTTTGTGTGTTCCACCGTTTCCATTCCGCTGTGACTCTGGCTGAAATCTGGAAGACTAGCTACAAGGCACGTTTGGAGTAAATGTTCTCCTGACTTGTGGTGGAACATGTGAAAGCTTAGATACAAAGTACAAAATGATAGAGGAGTTGTGTTAAAAGGGGAATGACCCGTGTCATTACCCCACAGTTTCAATGGTGGTGAGCATTGTGATGCTTCACAGTTGTAATTGAGAACACGATTTGCATGCTAGTCATTTTTTATTAAAAAAGGGGGGAGATATTATGTCAGCATGTGAGTGAAACCTGTTCCCTTTATACTGTATTTACATGTTTATGATTTCACCCTGTGATAAGAACAAGGATGCATTTTAAATTAATGTTTATGCTGTTTATGTAGCCCTTGTCAAACTAGCAGCTCAAACAGTTAGTTAGATTCCTCTAACTGACGAAGGAAGTTACCATCTGTCTATCTCATTCCTCTTTTGCATTGTGGTCTGCTCTTACGTAAGGGAAATCTATTTGCTATATGCGATGAAACTGTTAACAGGCAATCAAAATCCTTTTACTGCCAACTGCCAAATTTTTAATTCATAACTGAACAATGATTTTTTACACCTCCCTGTGTATTCTAATATTCATAATGTAAACAATTTTTTTTCATAATATTTTATATCTAACTTCTTTGATATTGAAATGCCCTTTCCTTATTGCTATTGTTTAACTCTTTTTTTTTCTTCTAACTGTATAGTTTAGAATGAAAGAAGTAGTATATGTGCCATAAAAGGTTCAAAACCTATTCTAGTACTCCATTTGTGGAACTGTCTGTTTTAGTGTGGATGTTGGCAGTAAAAATTAATTTCTCTTATTTATATAACTTGTATCCTGCTCCTCATGGAACAAGATCAAATATCAAACTAGGATACCTATATTTGGTGTGCATTCAGTGCGTTAAGTTTGTGGCTTTGACAGGTTTGGATGATCCAGTATTCTCCTTCTTTTCAAGACATTGATTGTTCTTTCTGTTTTTTAAGTCTTCAAGCTTTACTGACTGACATTCCTTTATTCATCAGTACTCTTGACAGAACTGAAACATGCCAAAAATAGAAGACAGCAGTCAAAGATTTACTGTCAGAACAAAACTGTTTACCTTATACTGTATTCATTTATAATCCACGGGGCCATATGTTGATGTGTAATCGGTCTTAAACTTATAGTTTTGAATTTGTAATGATTTAAATTGAGTAGACCTTATTTTTTATTTGTGGTTTTGGAGATCTGGCATTGCACTCACTGTATTGCCTTAATTAAATTGAAAACCGCCCAAAATAAAGCCCTGTAGGTGCTAGCCTAGTGAATGTTCATCGCTTGTAGTGGGCAATTTATTAATCCTTTCCCAGCAAGGCAGACAACATTTTCAAAATTACTGCAGACTCTTGTCAGAATCACTATTGTATGCTAGTTACTTGGAAACATATAAGCCAAACGTAGCATTCCTACCAAAGATTTTTTTTTTTCTGTACTGTTACTATTTTCTTTCAACTTTGCATTCGTTTTTGGTGTTTAGGGGTTGTCCCCCAAAAGTATCATGTATGTACCTTATATGCAATACTCAGCCTGAAGTTGTGACATTGTAAATTTGTATTTATAAATATTTTCTTTTGTGTCATACTGTAACTATAATAGCAACATATTTATATTTATAAAAAATCAATTTTAGTCTGTTTACTGCTGATAATTTGAAATTTTCCCAATGTTAATTATATATATTATTTATTTTGTACATAATGTTTGCTCCTATTTATAATAGGACTCATCTCCATTTTGAAAGCTCACAGAACCGTAGAGGCATGGTGAGCACATCTCAGTGTTCACACTTGCTATGTAGTTTTGATGAAATAGTCATTGAAATTATGCTAAGAATCAGTCAGTTCGGTCACCGAGGTGCACCATCTGTTCTCATGTGATTAATTGCATTTCCCTCTGTTATGATTGTCAGTAATTTTCTGTTGTTTGTTTTTATTGTTTTTATAAGAAAGAGAGGGTTTGTGTTTTGTGTGACTCCTCACCGCCACAGTGTGTTCTTCATAATTTTGTATCATTAATTATTTGTAAAGCACTATGCTTTGAGGCTTTCTTTGTTTAATTTCTTTTAGCAGGTGTAGCAGTGCTTCAACCTCTGTATATACTACCAACATCCAAGTTGAAGGGACCATGAAGGAGTTGGGACATTTCAGATGTACGTAGTAATTGAAATATTCTCAGACTCTAAGGCATCTGGCTATCATATTTTTCCCACAAGGAAATTGCTAACTAGCCATGCTTTTCAATTTCAACCAGAAGGATATGTTTAATTGAGAATCTCAACTGCTCCTGCTTGTTTAACTCCTGAGTGAATTCAGTAATAGTCAACCTGTCACTGAAATAATTGGTATGTATGTATCTGTCCTTGCCACCATTCATGCACCTTTCAGAAAGTGATATGAAATGCACGGAAAAGTAAACGTGAAGCAAAGAGGATTTCACCACTTAGCATTGTGATTCCATTGTCATATATTTGTTGCTCAAGACAGAAACGTTTTCAATTTTCTTGTATTAAGTGCTGTTGTGTTCCTCCAATGTTACGCTTGTCCAATTATTTTCAAATTGAAGTTCTACCCCTCAAATTGCATATGTCATCACTCATCATTTAAAAAAGAGTATAAAGTTTTTGTTTTGTGGTTTGTTTTTGTGCTTCATGGCTTTTCACCAATTCTTTTTACTTTTGACTTTGGACTTCTTTGGAGATTTGTACGTACCTGTGTTATAGACTTCCTTACCCTGACCAACCAACCAGTTTTGTTTGTGATGGAATCAACTGCCATGTTTAAAGCGTTAAAATTTTCTTATGGGAGATAAAGCAGAGTCTTTGCTTCAAATCATTTATCACTGCCATCTCCATGAAAGTTAGATGTAGATGAGTCAATAGTTCATTCATATTTACCAATTTCATAGAAATTTTTAACAAGTTATGTGATAGGCACATTTTTTGTGTGCTTTGTTGTACAATAGCGCATAGAGTTAAGGCAACTTGCTGAACTGCCATTAAAGCCGATTGAGCACAGAGAACAGGTTTTGAGTGAATTTGTGTGAAAGTAAGAATGTTTCAGAGTATACGCTTTGCTGCTGTTGCTGCTCGTTACTTTTATTGTCTCTCTCAGGTGCATTTTACCTAGTGCCACTTACCTATGTAACAAAACTTTTCTTCAACTAGATGGATAAGGATTATGCTTCACTGTAAAGTCATGAACTGAATTGACTGCACAGATTATTACTTCCAATACTTGAATCAAAATTTCCCAATACTCACTGATTTTTTTTTAAGCCCATTGCTTATTCATACAATATCATCTGTACAGAGATGACCATGCATGAAATCTGTTTAATGGTTTTGATAAAATTTTATCTTATAACTTTCATCAAAGCACAAGCAAACATTGACATTAAAAAGCAGGACAGTACTTTAAGATTTTGTAAATTTTAGGAGTACTTCAAAAAAATTTGTACATTTTTGAAAGGATATGTAGTGTGTCACTTGGAAAATGATTTTCTTTCTGTATATTAGAAGTATGAATGTATCCAATTCTCTTTTCCCTCCCTTAGAACATGAAAATGTTGTGTAATTCCTCAAAGATTGCTTATGTTACTGTGTTTCTATCAGCTTCTAAAATTATCCAGTGGAAATAGTAGGACAGAGCTCAGCTGGTTGTACAACAAATAATTGGTGCTACCAAGACGTGGACTGTGCAACTAATACGAAGGAACTTAAATGATTTAGTGTCTGAGGCAAATTGTGAATATACATGAACATTTGCAAAGAAGTGTTAAAGTGTAAGAGATTCTGTTTGTATTTATAGATTTGCAGATTTAAGAGTAGAGTGAAATTGAAACAAATTACAGCATTCACAAAAAAACTGACTACTGCTGACATGTGCTGATTGTGGAGTCATTATTTTTGTGGATACTTGTAAATAGTTAAAAGATTTTTTATCTTCTCACATGATAGGTTTCCCTTTAAAGCCAAATGTTAATTAAAATTTTGAAACGTTTCAATAACGGCGTGATGTAAAAAAAAAATTGTACAGAAAGTCACCAGGATTTGTTCTCCCTTTATTAAAAAGACCTCAAGATGTGTCAGCTATTAACATTCATGTAAGATGACTTTGTACACATTTAAATATCGAAAATAAAAACACTATCAAACAACTGACCTCTTATTAATTTTAACTAAGTAGCAATATGACTTTCCTGCCACCCCTGCTTAGAGCCATAGATGGAAACAGCAGTGTTCCGCTCCCGTAGAAAGCCACCTACGCTGACGCTGAGCGCTAAAAAAACGCAGTGAATGCGTTGGGGCTTTCACGTGGGGCTGTCAAAATAAGATACGGTTTGGCCGACCGACCGACCCATCGACCGTCAACCTCGGAAAGACCAGGACGACTGAAATATCGTGTTCGGGGATTTTCTCGCACGCTGAGTCCAAATCTGGTAGTGCCGATGTCCTCCGGCCCCCCGGAGACGTCATTGGGGACCTCCCGAGCACGCCGATGACACTCCCACGACAAATACGATTCGGCTCCAAACGTGGTGTACACAACACACGGGCTGGTGCATATTTCTTAAAAGTCGCCAAATATAATTATTATTAATAGCAAATCGCCCAT